CTTTTTCTTTTCTTTTATATGCTATATCTGTCCTCTCCTCTCTGTATCTCCACCTTTCTTTTCCCCATCTTTTTAGGTGTATTTACACATTTGGTTACTCCCAGTTTTTTCATCAGTATCTTTACTGTCATCATTATTGCCATCATCATCGCTTCCTCATCATTCACATCTCAACCACTACCACAACTGCAGGCCCCATAACCAGTGCTACCACAGGTAACCACACCATCGCTTTTATATACAATCTTGATATTAGTTGACCCCAAGCCTTTCAACCCACAGTTTCCGCACAACCATGAAAAAATCCAAGTCACATACTTCAAGCTGGGCCAAGAAAATGCTACTAAAACGCGAGAGGCAAGAGTTCTCAGCCATCAAGACAGCCATCGATGAGGAGAAACAGAGGAAGAAGGAGGACCTCAAGAAACGGCAGAAGTTTAATAAGATCCGCCGTGAGGAGAATGCCAAGAAGGCAGAGGTTGTGCAAGTGGTAAGTGCATCGTGTTTCCTTTGTTTATAAAAAAAATTCGGCCTTTTATTTATTCTTCTTCTCCTCCTCCTTCTCCTTCTTCTCCTTCTTCTTCTTCTCTCCTCCTTCTTCTTTCCTTCTCCTTCTTCTCTTTCTCCTTCTTCATCTCCTTCTTCTCCTTTTCCTTTTTCTCCTTCTCCTCTTTCTTTTCTTCTTCTTCTTCTTCTCTCCTCCTCTCCTCCTCCTCCTCCTCCTCCTCCTCCTCCTCCTCCCCTCCTCCTCCTCCTCCTCCTCCTCTTCCTCTTCCTTTTCCTCCTCCCCTCCTCCTCCTCTTCCTCCTCTTCCTCCTTTCTCCTCCACCTTTTCCTCCTTTTCCTTCTCTTCCCCCTCCTCCTTTTCCTCCTTTTCCTCCTTTTCCTTCTCTTCCCCTTCTCCTTTTCCTCCTTTTCCTTCTCTTCCCCTTCTCCTTTTCCTCCTTTCCTTCTCTTCCCCTCTTCTTCTCTTCCTTATCCTTTTCTTCTCTTCCTCATTCTTCTCATTTTCTTTATTATTATTCTCCTCATTCCCTTCCTCCTCCTCCTCCTCATTCTCTTCATCCCCTCTCCTTTTCTTCCTTATCCCCCTCCTCCTCATTCTTCTCATTTTCCTTCTTCTTTTTCTCCCCTTCCTTATCATCATCATCATCACCTTGTTTTCCTACTCCCTTCTCCTTATTCTCCTCCACCTCTTCTTCCTCCTTATTTTCGTACTCCACCTCTTCCTCCTTATTTTCCTCCTCCTCCTCTTCTTCCTCCTTATTTTCCTCCTCCTGCATCTACCCTTAATCCTTTTTTTTCTCTGAAGAAAAGAACATATGTTTTATAACTGTAAAAAATGAAATTTTATCATTAACACCCAACCATAAATAGTCATTGCCAACATGCTTTTATAACCCATTTACATCTTTCCCCCCTTTGTTTTGCAGATCAAAGATGCTAGAAAGCTGAAGAAGATGAGCAAGAAACAGCTGAGATACATTGAGACCAGAGACACCACTGTGATTGGCAAGCAGTATGGTTAATGGATAAGGGGAAAGTTAATGGAAATAAGGGAGGGAGAGGGAACGTTGGGGATAAATTAGGGGAGGAATAGATAGTTTGATTAGATTATGAAGAAGGATGATCAGAATTCATTTTGTTTTTGCCTTTTGAGCAAGGTTTGATATTAAATATTTGTGTTAAATCTGCAAGAGACATTTAATTTGATATCAATATAATACATTTACATTGGCAATTTTGTATTTGTACAAGTAATTGTGAGATATGAAGATGTTTCAAATTTTATAATATTTGTTATTAACAAGTATGTATGAATCTGTACATGAATATATCCATGTAAGTTATTCTTTTGAAATAAAAATGTTTTGGGATTTTCTTGCGTTTAACATTGGTCTTCTATGGATTGGATTATATGAATCATGAAAGAGGTGTTGTTTACAACTGAACAGTACTGAGTGAAAAAAAATGGCAAAAATTTAAAATAATAATAATATGACTACTAGCATAAGACACATTACAGACTAATGTTAATGTAAACAGTTGATGAACTGCCTCAGAAATGCATAACTAATTTGAATATGCTCTGTGTAAGAGGGCAATAACGTGTTGCACTGTCCTAATAAAAGGTATTGGTGAGGAGGGAGACAATCAAAGGAGAGAGAGAGGGAGGGGGGGAGGTATCACAAAGAGACATAAATAGTAGTTTCAGTTTTCGTATACTATCTAAGATCAGTTAGCAGAGGCACATTTACATAAAAATGAAAAAAAAGAGAAATTTATTTGCCAGAGCTACAAGATTTTGAGAAATCATATTGACTTTATAATCAATAAAAACTGCCACAGTGTTACACGTCATATGTACCCACATCTGGGCAAATTGGAGAACTGTTTGTGTCACCATGTTTCTCAGTTTTAATTCTTTTCATTAGAGATATTGTGCACACAAGATATGTATACAAAGTTTTATGATATGGCAAACTGACATTATATTTGCAATATATTAAACATGATTATGACCAATCCATTATTAAGTATCGAATATGTGCTAAAAGCTCAGTGAAAATGAACTTGAAACAAGAAAAAGTATTTAAAAAATGTTCTTTCATTCATCTATTTACATTTTCATTCAGCAAGTCAGTATAAAATACTAACTTTGTTGATGATACTCTTTCTTATTCTTCTCTTCCTCCTCATTTTTCATATCTTCCATCTCTCTCCTCCTCCTCTTCCTCCTCCTCTGATGTGATCTGTGAACCCTATGATCTAATCATTAATGCAATGGAATGAAATACCTATTTAAATAATCAAGCAAAAGCATTGTCAATGTTTGGCGGGAAATTGGTATGTTTGTTTTTATTTACTGTTACACACCCCTCAAAATAAGGCAACACAAAATGGTGAAGGGCTTTAATCTACTGACTCTGTAAGTTTATCAGTTTTATGTTAATGTAATTAATGCTAAAACAAAATAGCCATAATAGTCTGGTAAGAGATTTTGAAAGATTGAGGATGTTGCATTTCCACATTCTCAGGAGTATGTGTACATCACCCCAAAGCAGATCAGTTAGTCAATCAGTCAGGCAGTGAAGCCAACACTGAAGGGGTGCATAGCAAAATCCACCCTTCGCTTCCAACCATGAGGGATCCTCATGGCAATCTGCCAGGCAGGACATTAGCCTATCTCTGAATCCTCACAACAGACCTTGTCAATTTGCCCCAGCCATAACTTCCTAGGTTGTCCCATGGGTCTCCCTCCTGTGGACAGGATCATCCACAGGGAAACAAGCTAGGTGCCTTTAAACCTGATTTGTTAATCCTACATTGTCCAATTACAAAATTTTGTGCAGTCTCATGATCCTGCCAACTGTAATCCATGATCTGGCAACAGGGAGCAGTTACAAAAGGCATCAGGAAAGACTCCAAGGCATAGGATTGCATTCTGGTGCAAAACTGGCACCATCAGGGCTTTGAAGACACGTGACTTGGTCATTCTGTACAGATACTACATCTCCAAATACTTTTTTCAGCTGAGTTTGTGCCACCTGCTTCCATGCCAATTAATCTACTGACATCCTGGTCTGACAGTCCAGAGTCATGAACTACATTACCAAGGTATATAAAGCTCTGTGACTTCAGCGTCCTATCCACAAGCATGTACCCACTGAATAGGCTCTTCTAGCAGACCCCAAAATCTAGGATATTGGTCTTGGTTCAACAGTCTTCTAGACCCAAGGGCTTCACCTCATTGTTAAATGTATCATGAGCCACCACAGAGTTTCCAGAGACTCTAGACTATTAAATAGGATAACAGCATTGGCAAAGTCGAGATTAGTAACCTTAATATTGCCCAGTGTTACTCAATAACGACTTCAGATAATAACTCTGCCAGTATCCAATCAATACAAGTGAATCAATAGGGAAGATGCTAGATTGGCCCCTGCCACTTTACAGCACTTTCAGTACCAGTATACAGGCTTGTTATTAGTCCAATGATACTTGGTGTAATTCCCCTTAGTCCAGGATCTCTCAGAGCAATTTGAGATCCACTGAGTCAAATGGCGTATTGAGGTAAAGGTAGACCGCATCTTGTCAGGAGAGAATTCTCTGGTGGCTTAGTAGATGGCCTCTGATATGACTCAGAAGAATATAAGCAGACCCTTGCCTGGTATGCTGAGCAGTGTAGTTGCCACAGTAGTTGCTGCAATCCCATCAGTCCCATTTTCCATTCCAGAGAGGGGTGACCACACTCATCAATAGGTCCAGGAGAATGGTATTGGACTGCCAGAGTGTAGCCAGGACAGCTAGTAAACCCCATGCCATAGTTTCACCACCAATTCAGTGGGGATACACATGTGCCTGCTGCTTAGAGATTGCCTCCCAATGGGGTATTTCAACATTTTTGGCATTTTTATAAGTGTACAAAGAGTACTCTTTTTGCTGATCCCCCTCCCCCCCTTAAAATCATAGCCCTGAAAAGGTTGATGCCAGGCATGCCCTTGAGCAGACAGGGTAGTCCTGTGAAAATATTCCTGATAGTCTTACTACCACCTAAAAGCTTGATAGGGGATCATTTTCATGATTAGAGATAATTTTCACTGAGGAGAAGTATCAGGATCATTTTCAAATAGGACAAGTATCAGGACAAGGGAAGTCTGAGAAATGTTTCATTCCAGCTATTATATATACTAGCTTTCAACACAAATGTTAATGAAATTAAGAATACATAGTTTCATGAAGGTGAGGTTAGATCAGGTGTGGTATTCATCCACAGATACTTAGCACTCCATATAATCTGGCATCATTTTCATAGAATTTGAAAAGTGTGCATGCAGGTTTAAACCCCTCCCCCTAGCATACGTTTTATTCGCTCGTGAAAATGTTGAAAATTTTGAACCACCCCTAACCTCAGTCAGGGTAGGAGGTTTTTTGCTGATGATTGTAACTGGCAACATCACTTGCATCCAAACTAACTGCTGGAAGATTAACCTGATATAGCTGCTTATAATAGTCTGCCCAACGTTCATGAATCCTAACAGGAAATGATCCAATCATCCACTGAGCTATCATGCCGTTGTCTGTATGGGGGCTTGGAGTTTAGTTTTCTTAGGGCTTGGTTGGCTTAAAATTTTAAATTAAAATTGAAATTAAAATTGAAAGCCATTTACTAGGAAACAGCCTTTAGCCTCTTCCTGAAGCCCTGTTCTTTGTCTGTTCTCAGAAGGGCCTTTGTCCTGTTCACTAAAGCTAGGGTCACACAAGTCTTCTATGTCCTGGGATCCCTAGACAACCTTGCCAAAGTCAAGTCAGCTAACCAATCAAAAGATGCAGCTGGCCAGGCTTTGGCAAGGCTGTCAAAGGAATCCAGGACAGAGAAGACTAGTGTGACCCTAGCTTAAGGAACGGTCCAAATCCTGATCGCCATCAAGTCTAACCATATGACACACATCTGTGACCTCCATTGAGATGAAATTCTGTCTTGTTCTCAGGAATTCTCAAATGGAGTTCTGACCTGTATCATGTGTTTTGCATTTGAAAGAATCCCACAAAGCTACACGTACCATCAGGTTATTGAGTGCTGCGAAGCAGTCTGAGATAACTTGTAACCATCCACATCCTTGGGTGAACACTGCAAAGAAGGGAGGTTTTGAAATGGACCCAAAGGGTAGCCACGACTGGTCTGTAGTCAGTACTCCAGAACTCACTAACAAAGATATGGTTAATTTCCTTAGCCACAGTGCTTGTATTGCCATACAATATGGATCCTGTGATGCGGGTTGGATTGTTAATACCAGGAGCCAGAAATCCTGTCTTGAGACCTAGCAAAATCCCAGAGAAGGAATGTCTAATTGGGACATTTGGCTGTTACAGATGCAATTTTGGCATAGAACATCAATTTCACATCGAGGTTTGCAAACATATATAGGAGCATACACAGTGATAAGAGACATGAAACCAAAAGCATAATTCAGTCACAATGTCACTATATAGTCATTTAATGGGTAACCTCTGCTACCAAAGGCTGGAGTTGGGTGGAGATGGCTATGACTACCCTCCTGGAGATGTTGATCTTTGCTCTTGCCTGACCAATAGTAGGTGTAACCATCCACACTTATAGTGCCGCTGTCAATCTCTGAACGGCCAGCCACCACAACTCTTGCCTGCTACAGCTCCCTCAATAGCAGAGATAATCAGTCATCCTGTTGCGAAGAATGAACTGAGGTTGAACCTTGGGTAGTCACTCTGCTGCCCCTGCCTACATTACCCCATATGCAGGGGGCAGTAAGCTTTAAGGCTCATCCTCCTCCTGTGGTGTTCCCTTGGGCTTTACCCTATAAGCCTCACACTGGTTAGGCAGCCACTGGGATGCAGGCAGCGCAAGTAGCCAAGGTCTAGACCTTGCATGAAACCCCCACTCACTACCCGCGTCCCAGTAGTTGCCCTTCCAGTGAGACCCACAGTCTGCCTTACTTGCTGGATCAGACGGGCAGTAGCCCTACCCCCCTGCATCATCATGCCAGTATGGATTTACTTTGGAGAGGCAGACTGGTAAGGCAAGGCTGATGATCATATGTTTTGAAAATTTCATCAGCCAATGCTCCTTTAACTGAAGGGTAGTATTTCTGCAATGTTTAACCAATGTGTAGATCATAATTTGATTTACTTAATTAGACCACTTTGCTTAAAACTAATGTATTATACAAAGGTGCTGATTATTCCAAGATGGTGGTGTTTTTTAGATTTTTTTTCCTTTTCTTTTCTTTCACCTTTCACCAAAAAGAGTTATATTAGATAATAGATAATATATTATGTTTTATCTCCTTTTATTTGCATGTAAACTATGTAAACTGAAGTTTCATAGGTAGATTCTTAATTTCATTATGAATTTTGTTTTCCTTTTAACTTTATGTGCTTTTGGTATGTCTCAGCCTATAACTTAAATTGTGATTGGGCAAGAATTCTCTTATTGTCACAAATCTACTGTATTTGAATTCAGAAATGTGATAAAGTCTGACAGAATTGCTGAAAGAAGTACTTTTTCATCATTTATCATCATTATATAATAAACAATGACCCTAAATATCCCAATAAACAATTGATTTATTCACAGATATTTTCTTTCACTTCCAAATCATGCTAAATATCCCAATGAACAATTGATTTATTCACAGATATTTTCTTTCACTTCCAAATCATGCTTACTTCTGACTGAACAATAAGTGACTTCATGAAATATCTACATAAAACTTTTTATAACAGTAAAGAAAAATAATCTTAACTGGATCCAGATGACATGGCTGTCAATGGACCATCTGGAAGAGCGCCTGCTCCAAGGAAGACACTATTTCTACCCTCAGGATCTTACTCCTACCCACTGTAATTGGTGGTGTTACAGAAAATCAAGTAAAAGGAATATATAAAAATATTAAGCAAATAACTACTAAGAAAGATGATAAGTATAGACCGTGGGAAATGGGGGAGGGGGGCGAGAAAGCCTTATGCAGAAAGAGATAATAGCAATTCAAAGGAGATGCAAGGAGTCTTGACAAGGCATGTATTTTTGTGATAAGGCGTATAAGTCATCACTCAAGTAAGTCTAAAGCCGCAATTTTGAGCCATGTGTGGGGATACGGCCCCCAAATCCGATGGATTAAGAAAATAGACAATAGTAAAACATATAACATACTTAGTATTGTATTAATTAAGGATAAGAAACACTTCAGTTACTGAACAAATTTATTGCTTGTATCAATATTTTAGATACAGATAATATGATGTGGATATCTGGAGAGATATGGGTGTCCCTACACAACACACATTAATGATGATAGGTGTATCAGTGGTGAAGGAATGAAACATGGAGCATAGACCTTGAATACACCTATTAGAAGTGGACGTGTGAATGACCAAATCTCTGCCCAGCATCTCCACATCTGAAGCGACATTTATACATTAAAGGATTACGTTTGGGTTGTGATGAATTACATTTGGGGTTGAGGAATTATACATGGGGTTGTGAAGAAGGGTTGTAAAAGAATGTGGAGTTTCTTTGGCCACATTTTAAAGGTCTTAGTAAAACTCTATGATATAAACTGCCTACTTCTTGTTGATCTATAAATTTACATAAATATATACTCTTTGTGGCAGAAGGATGGCAGTGATGTTTACATTTTTTTTTTCTTTTTTTTCAGAAGCAACTTTTTCACGTGTGGCTTTCCTTCAGTTTACTCAAAGTTGCCAACTCTTTAATAATTAATATCAGTTGTCTTAATTATCATTTGCCTTTATAATATCAAGGATGGAATTTTTATCATAAAGAAACTGTTTGTCATAGACAGAGGTACAGGAAATAGTAGTGTGTTTTATGGCAATTAATTATTCTATACTCTGTGTAGTTGTTTTTACAAGTAAAAAGCTATAGTTATCATCATGAAAAATAAGTGGCCAAACCAGCAATAGATATTCAGTAATGAAAAGTGTTATAATAATAACAATGTCCATTACAGCTAAATTAATAACAATGCATCAGAGCTGGCATCAAAGTATACCACCATTCAGTGAACCTTTTACAACACATCCTTGAAATCATTGTCAAATCTTCATTCTAAAAATGCTTCTTACAACCCCTAGTTATCTTAGCTCAAAGAGAACCATTTATAAAGCAAGATTTCCAAGTACTTTTAAAAACGTTTCTTCCTACGTAATACCTACAAAAAATTAAGAAAAAGGCTTCAAAAGACATTTATCACTTAATGTATAGAGACAATCACAATCACAATGGTCTACACGTGACTGAGTTTGACATTATATTCTAGTTAGCTGCTATAGTGAGTTGGGAATCTAATTCAAATTTGGCAAAGAATGAGCCTGGTGTTCCTTGTGCAATTGGGAGAACAACACCCTTATAGAACACGTTTTAAACATGTTTATCTTTCACATAACAGTGAAAAATGGATAGACAAAACATACTGAAGATGATACAAGACAATAAAGGAACTGAATAAATGAAGGGGAAAATAAAACAAAACAAAAATAAAAGTAACATGAATATCATATAACCAACAAAGGTAAAATCTTAAAAAAAAAAAAGTTCAGTCTTAGATTTGTGAGTGCATATGTCTGAGGATTAAAGAGGAATGATTTTGTATGAAAATAACACAAGGCATGTTTAATATTTAATTATGAATTTCTCATAATCTACATTAATGAAAAGACAAAAATAATGACAATAAGGAGTAGTAGTAGTAATAATGACAATAACTATAATATTTATAATAATGATAATCGAAAAATTAATAACAGCAATAACAATAATAAAAAGCATAACAATAAAAATTATAATAGCATTTATAATAACAAGGCTAGTAATTATCAATAATAATAATATTAATAATAATAATAATAATAATAATAATAATAATATAATAGAAAAAAATTATAAAATTAATAACAATAACAATAATAACAGTAATGATAATAAAAACAATAATAATTATATAAAAAATAATAACAATAATGATAATATTGGTAATAATATCAACACTAGTTAATAATAATAATAACAAAGATAGTGACAGAAATACATATAAGTGATAATGATGATAAAAATAATAATGATGACAATAATAATGATAATGATAATCTAATAACAATAATAATAATAATAATAATAATAATAATAATAACAATAATAATAACAATCATAGTAGAATATCTATTTAAAAAATAGAAAAAGCATCTTTCACATATATATGTTTATATATAGCAAAATGACAAAGCCAAAGACAAATTATGGAAAGCAAATGAAAAAACAGCAAAAAAACAAAAATGAAAAGTGAAGGGGAGAAGAAGTGAGCAAGAAGAATTTTTTTTTACGGTAATATAAATTTACATTAGGAATAAATGAAAATAAAAGGAAAACAGTATACTTTTTTTGGCCAGACTTACAACTATCAATACATGTTATTTCACTAATATATGTTAACTTTTAATTCCATTCATGACCTAATGATGATAATGAAGTTATAATGGCTATACTTATTTGAAAAGCTCCACTAACTCCACCATTTAAAATGTATGTCTATATATATATTTATACAAAAAAAGAGAGATAATAAGTAATCCTCAAAATAATAACGATGAAAAATATGGCATCACAGAATATCCAATATTTATGCATTATTCGTTTCCAAAAATCTAAACTACAATAATAGCTGGATTAGATTTATTATCATAAAACATCAAAATTGAATGAATATATATATGTATGTATGTATGTCTGTAATGTATATTTACATACACTTGTATGTGTATTCATTTATATATGTTTATGTATATATATATATATATGTATGTATATATATATATATATATATATATATATATATATACATATATATATATATATACATATATACATATATATATATATATACATATATATATACATATATATATATACATATATATATATATATACATATATATATACATATATATATATATATATATATATATATATATACATATATATATATATATATATATATATATATATACACACACACATATATGTGTGTGTGTGTTTGTATGTGTATATATATATTTTCACATTATAAACATATATGGGTAATGTCATTAAGCATAAGATGAAGGAAAAAAGAAAGAAATGTCAAAGAAAAGTGCTAATAAAAGAAAAGAGTAACAGAAAAGGAAGGCTACAAAGAAGCCAAACCTAATCATCAAAAATAACATGAACTTTGACTAACAAGGGCAATCCTCAGGACACTCTCTTGGTGCTGTAAAAAACAAGGTGCTCAGTGTGCAATGGGGCCTCCCCCTCTGCCTACAGGTCAGTGGTGACCTTGGAAGTGATGGCTTGAACCCGACGTGCGTTGCAACTCTTGCACAGGACATGACCGTCGAGGGGGTAGCAGCCCCTCCCCTCTGCCTCCGAGGACAACACCAAACCACAGTCCTGTCAATGGAAGGCACAAATTAATTCATCGCCTAGCATGGTTTATTATCTCATTAGTACTGCCTATTCATATATTTTCCTTTTTATAAGAGAAACTGAGATCTAGAAAGAAAAAGAGAAAGAAGGTGAGGAGGGGTATAGGACAATAAGGAATGAAGGAAGGAGAGACATGAGAAAGACAGGGGAGCACGAAAGTGAGAGAAAATTGGTTCTCACCTCACACTTGTAGCAATTAACATGGAATGAGCGATCAAGAGCAACAACTCTAACTGTCTCGTCCTTTCCTGGCTCTGGCATAATAGGTTCATGGCACACAGTACAGCGAGGAGCAAACTTTCTGTTGAGGAAAAATACAGATCATTCATACAACTATAAATATGGTAGCGGAATGACGGAAGGTACTTTTATGTAGACAAATATGTCTTAAACCAATACTAGAGAATCTAGTCACGGGCCTATATAAGTGATCCTACTCTTTCAAATATCCCCATCCCACACACCAATAACTCCTTTAATAAAAGACCTTGTTTTAAGCTCAAGCAGTCTCAACTTAGGTAATATTAAATATATATGATAAACATTAAAAAAAAGTGTAACAAATTCATTACTCCCTCCATACACATCAATATAAAACAACTTACTTATGGAAATCATCTATACAGTGGATCTGATTTGAGGCATCTACTGTGAATGGAATGCCGTCCAGGGACTTGTTACACACAACACATGTAAAGCACTGCGGGTGGTACGGCTTCCCAGTCGCTCGTAAGATGCGGTCCAGAATGGGCTTCGTACACACGCAGCATTTCTCTAGAGTATTCTGTGGGAGGGATGATGCATATGCTTAGTAAGTATTACTGGCAAAAGTAAATCTGTATTTCAGTGGCTAAAATTGTCAATTAATGATTTCCTTCTTTTACTCCTCTGCAATACTAGACTTCATAATGGATTCAGAATCAGGTAACTGCCAGGACTATCAAGAGGCTAACTTTACACAGAAGCACTTAAAAAGGTTACATCTGAAAAAGATAATTATATCATCTAGTCATCAGTATTGTTGACTAGACACTGAAAATGTTCTAATAGTTAAAAAAAAATTCAAGACATTTTGATAGTCACATATACCGCAATATAGAGACAGACAAAAAGCACACACTTACTAGGTAGCAGTCTTCGCAATAAGGCTTAGAGTCGAGAGCATAAAAAGGCTTGCCCTGGAGCTGAAGGTGACACACTATGCAGACAAAGCACTTGATGTGGTACACCTGTTCCATTGCTGTGCATCCGCTGCCCTCTCCCACAACCTTCTCCCCACAGCGAGTACAAATGCCTGCCGAGGAGAGAATAAAACGAGACATCCTGAGTACATTGGACAGGAGAATAATAAATCTCTGTGATAGAAATATGTTTAGAAATGACAGGGGACTTAAGTCCCTGTCTCTGTTGGTGTTTAAGGGATGCCATGCTCTAAACATTAATGAATGACTGGGCAATGAATGGAGCTGATAAATATTTGCATTTCACAATGGAAGAAGTTGATTCCAAAAGTAATCACTCTTTTCCTTTAATGATCAAGTTCCAATATCCTACTGCTAAAATCAGAAAAGATGATTAGACTGTTAAAAACATTAACAAACATAAAATTATTCATCTCTACATCTGTCACAATGACCTCTGTTCTACAAGTACCTACTCCAAAACAGTATCAGAATAGAATGAACATAAAAAGAGAGGTGATACGGATTATAGCAAGGACAGAGAAGAAGAAAAATTCTTTTCAATCTATTTCTCTTCTTCAAACATTCATTCATAATATCATTCCTTAATATCATGTAATAGAGATTGTGTTTACCTTTAGTATCATGCATGGGTTCATTTAAATGTTATTGTTTACAATACTATTAACACAATATTTTTCTTTGTCAAAATAAAATTTGAATTCAATTTTAACAAAACTACATGCATTAGGTAATCCTTCAACCAGTTAATTGAGGATTTAACCAGATATGCATTTTAACAAGTTACATTAGGTTTAAAAAGAGGAAAATAAAAATATGAGAAAAAGAAGAGAAAGAGAAAAAAAGGTGCTACAGGAATCATGCTATTGATGCATTTCTATTAAAAAGAAATAAAAATCTTTCAAGAACACTTCATTGTACCAAAAATGCTTTTCAAAAACCAAAATTTAACTCCACAGAAAAAAGAAGACTAGAAAAAAGGGGAAAAAAACTTAGGAGACAAACACAAAAAATTAAACATAAAAAAATAAAAACCAAGATGCACATACACGATTCATACGCACCAAAGAACTCTGGGTCATTGGTACTATCCATGGACTGCACGAGGAGGTTGGTGAGGGCATCAACCTCGGCCTCCTTTCCCACTTTGTCCGGGTTGACAAGTGGCTGGTTGCTTGGGGGTGGAGCCAAGCCACGGGCCCTAGGTGACGTGTAGGGCCCATAGAGGCTGTAGCCCGACTTGTTCGACATCTGGCTGGAGGGGCGTGGCGTGATGGGCTCGTAGATGGACTCGTATGTTGAGCTCTGGAAGGCAAATCATCATTGCCATTATTCCATCGTGTGAATCTATGTATCTACTTGTTTACTATCATCACGGGAAAATGAAGGAGAATGGGAAGAGGAGGGGGAATGTGAGGGGCTGAGATCAGAGAAGGAAAGAAATACACAGATTGATAGATACTGAGGAAATGAGGGGATAAGAAAAGGAAAGAGTACAATTAAGAGAAACAGAGTAATACACAAAAGAGAGAGAGAAAAGAAAATATGATACAAGTTAATCATAAATTCAAACAATCAATCTTCCCTTTACTGGAAAATAGTATGTTCAGTCTTTTATTTACCAGTTAATATCAGAAGAAAAAACTTTTAGCATGAGACTTGCAAACACCTCAACTTTCTGAGGTTTCCATAAATAGGATAGTGAAAATGGATGGATACCTATTGTACTTATATTGCAGACATATAAAAATAATTTCCCTTAATACAAGGATCGAGGGGGATGGTTAAGAAAAAGAGGAGACAGAGAGAGGAAGAGGGAGGGAGGCAGGTATGGAAGAAGGGAAGGGAGTAAGAGAGAGATGCGGGAGTGAGGGGAGGGAGGGAGGGAGGAAGGGAAGGAGAGAAAGAGNCACATGATCAAAGAGTGAACAAAAAATAAAGACAGTGAACGTTAAAAAGGGGTTACCACATGTCAGATTCATAAGCCACACACTTTTGGTAGGATTATTGAGTGATGGCCGCGTTAAGATACAATATCAAATCACTTCCTGACGATCACACTTGGAGAAAGGATGGACTGGTACATTATTTGGCAATCAGACCACATCCTGAGGAATTTATCAGATCTTGCAATATTCAAACTGGAGAGGGTAAAGAAAGGAATGGAAATCCGAGTAACATAATTATACAGTACCTCAATGTGAAAATTGCAACAACCACGACACACATCTTAAGTTCTGAAACACACACGAGCACACGATTATAGTCTCCCTTCCACGGCGATCTTGACTCGCGCTGAATGTGGCTGAATGGGAGAACACCAGATATCTGCTAACTACTCTCTGCCAGCACACACTGCTCTTAGTGATCCCCAACTTTAATCACACGTCTGCCAAAGCTTCTTCTGAATAGATTTGCCAGTGTGTAACTGTCCTCGCCTCAGGCGAGGAGCGGACACAGCGTCGAGAGCTTTACATCCTCAGAAACACGCTCGTCCCTTTCTTCCTTTCGCTTTTCGTCCATCTACGTAATTAATCTTTCTTTTATTTTATCTCGTTAAACTATCAAGTATGGCCTAGGATGAAGCGGACGTATGTAATGTGTCGTCGTAGCGAATGTACAGCAGAGGCTGATGAGTATGGATGCGTGGATAAACGTAGTACACATATATTAAGAAATATATTTAATAATAGAGCAGAAAGTGGTGGTAAATGAAAAATGAGGTGAGCGGTGAAGAGTAAGGAGAAGTATGAGTGAGTAGTACCTTCTTTCTACATTTCTTATCTTAATCTTAATTCTTATAAGCGTGTATAGTTACTTTAAATATATCAACATTTCCTATACGGTCAAAAATCAAATATATCCTATAGAGTAAGCCCTGATACTGATTTATATACTTATTATGCTAATCTTAAACACTTATAAAACAACAACAACAAAAATAAGGTGTAGTTTCATAGGTGTTTAATATATTATCACATTATTTTTTGGGCTATACAGTATTTTATAAATCACTTATATTTATCATCACTTAATAATTATCTATGGAACAGCTAATATATCTTATCTAACAGTTATCTAATCTCATGCAATTTAGACCAAAGAAATTATACACACAAATAAACAATCAGGAAAGTTTCATAAAATGGACTGAAGGTCACTGGATATCAAGACTTGACTAGCAACTTTGTGTGTATGTTGACAAACAAAAACATGCACCCACCTAACAACCCATTCATATGCACACACATGCACAGACTGTATACACACCAATACACAATTTAAAATAGATATATAAAAAAGAAGAAAAAAAATACCTGGGAATAAGAGCTTTGGCTTCTTCAGGCGTCTCTGGACAAAGGTTGGCAAGTGCTGCCAGTTCAAATTTGTGCAGCTTCTTCTGATTTAAAAGTTCGCGAATGGCCTTAATCGTGGCTCTGTTCTTGAACTTGGAAAACCTTTCACAGTAATTCAAGGTCTTCATGAATCTCTGCAGGAAGGCCTTTGCAACAAGTTAATGTCAGGTCTCAGAATCTCTGCAGGGAGGGAATGTTATACCTTTTCCACTTTCCTTTTTTAACTTTATCCTTTCCTCTATCACAATATGTCATTCTCCTTCTTTTTTTTATTCTTGAACAATAAAGATTAACCTTTAACCGTCTGGCAATACTTCGTCACACTATCATCTACACCTTCGTCCTGCGTGGCATCAATCCATTCACCTTCATTTACAGCAAACACTAGATAGAAAGTGAGCTGCGCCAAATGTTAACTCAGGACTGAGGTCCTGTTATTCTTCATGAGCTCTCTTACAAGAGCAAAGCCTAATAACAAACACGCAACACAAGAGTGAAGAAGTGCAAACTTGCTGTACACCTTTCCCTTGCTCAAATGTAACCCGAAAATAAATATTTTACCATTTCTTTCCTTGGATTATTATTACTTAAAGGGGAGGAGGGAGAGAGCCTAATATAAAATAAAACTAAGAGATGACGATATTCGAAATATCCTATTTTTAATGAAGATTAAGTTTCTTAGACATAGTGAATCATGTAAATTCGTCACACTATAACATTCTTTCTTGTAATTGATAATTTAATACTGTTATTTTGACAAAAATTGTGGACCTTAGGTATAGTATTGTATTTCCTCCACTGTCTTGTAACAATTTCCAACTCTTATCTCAAGCAACACCATAAAGATAACAAAGGGATTACCTCTCAAACTCACACACCGGCCTTTATCAAAAAAACAGGGTAATTATAAGTGTGGAAGGCCGAAAAAGCTTTGAGTAGGGAGGGATAAAGATGTAGATATTAAGTAACTTTGAGCTACAATTAGACAATTAGTTATATATCTCATATTTCTTAAACTAAATCTTAAAAAAAAAGAAAAAATAATGAAAGAAAGAAAAAAGAAAAGAAAAGAAAAAAAAGAAAAAAACAATAATCACCACATAGAGTCTATAGAATGTCGTATGATATCTCATCTGCACGATTCTATGGCAGTGTGTACATGATAAATATGACGAATTGCATTCATTCACATATAACGTCCTGATGTTTTGTATTTCTTTCTATGAATCATTAATTAATAGAGATCAAGAGAGGCACAGACTTCACATCAAACACACTGCAGATGAATAATACAACAATACAGACGCTACAGTATTAATATATTCTCTACTCCTCTTCAGTAGATATAGAATCTTACTGTTAGATCAGAAATTGCATAACACGATTATTCCGAGTATAAACTGAAATAACATAAACAGGAGAGGGCTGCGGTTGAGAGTATAAATAAGTATAAAAACAACAATGATAGTTGGAAGATATATAAGCTATGCAAGAAGATAAGGTACTAACAATACACTAGAAAAAGAAGAAAGAAGTATAATAGGAGAAAGTAATAGACAAGTCAAGAAAAGCGCAGTATAAAATAATTCACCATAAAGCATATACGTCAATGTAATAAGATCACAGTCACAGAGGTTAAGTGGACATTAAAAAATGTAAAAAAAAGAAGAAAAAAGAAAATAGAAAAAAATATAAAACAAATAAATTTCTGTATCAGTTGTAATATAATGTATTACAATTATAACAGGCAGCACACAATACAATCTTAAAATCCAATACTTATTATTTTAATATATTACAAAATGACAAAAAGCAGAGAACCTATAATAATGGGAGGCTTAAGGTAATAAAGCATTTCAATAATTATAACACTCACTGATTGAATATTTGAATTTGTATAATTGTATTAATTGATCAAAGAAATATTTTGAAAAATTTTGTGACTGGAATAAGCCAACGCAAAAGCATCTAGAACTGCTGTTGAGTATACATTGACATCCATATTAAAATTGGGTACTAAATATGACGCAATTCTCGTGATATTAATAGTACGACTTCTATTCTACCAACACATTACCACTACATAAGAGTAGTGAGACACGCAGGTCTCTATTGAATGCTCTACAAACACTAAATCTTAATGACTTTCACCTATAACAGCCTCTTTTCTATTATCGCACTTACGGTTTTGCACTCCTTCCACATCCTCTCCTCCCCCCCGGGCCACGCACACCCATCACCCCCATCTAATAATTAGGAAAAATTAAAAGAAAATAGAAGAACGGAAACGAAAAAAAAAAGGAAGGCGTTTATATATCCCCCGGACAATAACCCACCCAACGCTTGGTAAATAATTCACAGACAACGTCTAATCTCGTAGTGTTTAACTACATACTAGACTAGCTGCGAATGATACAATGCGAGACGAAGTCGAACATAGTACCAGCTACAAAAGAACTGAAACAGAGAACGAAACAGGTTTCCTCTGCACTTACTCCTACCGGCTCATTCGATGTCAACGAGATGAGCACTCAAAGCTTAGTCCACATCTCCCTATATGCCATGGAAATAATACATTTAAGAAGTGTATGTCACATATATCTATTCCTTCTCACGCTTGCTATACAACTCTTTCCTGTAATGAGTCTTGATACAAGAGTGTGCTATTGCTATAAACATAACAATATACACTAAAGAGTGAGGAGGTTTCTTCACAGACATCACTTACTGCCAAATACTAGAGAATTATTCTTAGTTTACTGTGCCTTCTTATAATTAAAACACGCACTCGAACAATTCATCTATGGATAACAACTGACTATACAAATCAGGTTAACATGTTATAAAAAAATCTTATCTGAGTGAAACACGTAAAGAGGTAAGGCCACAATCACCAATGAAAATCTAATGCCTATCATACAGCTGTCCTGATTCCAGCTTTATGCTCCAGCAGAGGCTAAAGAAACAA